ATGATTAGCTCGATGCTTGGCTTCCTGTATCTTGCTTCCTTCTCTTTCTTTTATTAGATGCAGTTTTATAGATCAAGGAAATTTATGGCTAGTAATGCAAGCTTATAAAGAGGGTATTTTAATGAAGGTCATATCAGTGAATCAGCAGAAGATAAGATCTCTTTCCAGAAATTAGACTATTTTGGGGACATTGCAGAGAGGGGGAGACGGGGACACTTTGTAAGTATGGGGTAGGGTTGGCTAAACCTCAGTGGCTCATAAAGTGGAGCCTGGTCTGAATCAAGGACCTCACGGAAGTGCGTTTGAATGCTTTTCGAAAATCTTCGCAGGCGGTTAGACTCAGTGTTGAGAAGCCAGGGCAGTGCGTGGACAGTCTTCGCTCTCAACTGCCACAGACGTTTCTTTTCACCAAGAATTATGTGTTGCTTTTTGGAAAGAGAGTTGGCATAATTTGAAAAGAATCCCAAAGCATGTCTAAAATGGGGTCAGGAAAATCCCACACTCCCCCACTCAAAGCCCTAAGATTTTCCAAAATAATAAAGACCTTTTAAAAGATCCAGAAGAAGCTGGGGTTTTTGCTTAATTTAGAAAGCACATTTGCTTTTGGAAGTTGATTTTAATGGCATGTTTGGCAAGTTATCATATTTTTGGATGAAATTTTTAACACGGGTCTTTCGAGAACACCATCTTGCGGGAGCGAAAAAGAACCTGAGAAAATGCTGTAGTGTTTCTTCATCTCTGATCCCCCCCCCTCAGGGGGGATCCTGGCTAGACTCGCTGTGACACCAGGGTCCTCTCGCCCTGTTCCCCTGAGCACCTGGACACACCCTGGAGAGGACGAGGATTCTGAAAGAAGGCGAGGTCCCGGGGTCGACATCGTGGCTACGGACTTCCAGGCTTTAAAAATCTGAAAGTGTGCTGATTAATTCAGATGAGAAATAAAGCTACTAAATGGACGAGACATTGGTGTTTGAGGTCTACCCCTTCCCCCTGAGCTGTCCTTGTACAAAGGCCGCCCTGGCGACTAGCATGTATTTTTAAAAATATGCTAATGTATTCAGAGAAGTACAGGCAAATACAAAAAAGATGTCCGCATATCTCTGCTTTGGTTTAAGCAAAGGCCAATTGATTTCTAAGTTCTTGGAGCTGAGGTGCCTCTGTTGCTTCCACCTCCCCGCCCTTTCTAACCCTTATTTTCTGAAAATATGAAAAATGCTTTAAGAATCTGTTCTCATCTACTGAGTAGTCAAAACAGTTTTTAAGCCTATGATCTTCCATAGTTCCGAGTAATTTAGAATAAGAGTAAACACTTTGTTTTCCTAATCTTTTTTTTTTCCGTAGTGTGTTGTGTGGGAATTTTCTACTCCATGTTTTAAAATAATGCTAATAGCTACTTATTTTGTGTTTTGTTCCAGGTTCTCTGCTAGGGCCTTTTATACATTAACTCACGCAATCCTTGCAACAACCCCTGAGTTAAGTACAGATGGGGAAGTGGGCCCCACCAGGTGGGCAAATCGGCCCAGGATCACGAGGCTGGGGAATGGCCGGGACTTCATCCCAGGGAGCCCGCCTCCGGGCCCCTGCCGCTGAACCACTGTCTGAAGACCGCCAGGCCCAGGGACAGACTCAAGGACTTCTAGTGTTTTCTTAAAAAGGACAGGATCTCTGACACACAAGTTTCTACTTTATTGGTACCTTTTATTTTTTTCATATATACGAAAAGAATGCGATCTTATTTCCAACGATTTCAAGGAAGGGCACATGTATGATTGCCAGGTTTGTTAAAATGGGAAGTGCTTGACCCTACAACATTTTCACCAGCCAGTCTACTATTTTCCACTACCTAAAAGGAGTGTTTTTAAAAAATTATAGTTTACAGTCAATATTATTTTGGGTTAGTTTCAGGCACAAAGCATAGTGGTTAGACAATCATATACTTTACAAAATGTTTCCCTTGATATTTCCAGTACCAGTCTGGCACCAAGGGTTGGCTCTTGTCTGGGAGGAACCGGTCAACTACGTGGATAGTAGTTCTGATTTTTCAGTGGTACATGCACTGCATTGGCATAGCAGGGGTATTCTTTCAATACTGTAAACCTCTCTCTTAAAGAACACACTGTTTTATAACAACCACAGATATTTTGTAAGCATCATGGCCTCATATTTCTCCAAAGAATTTCATAGTCTCTTTGATGCTTTCAAAGGCATTATGCACAGTGAATTTTGACCTCTGCCTCTTTTTGCTGATACCACTAACTTTATTATTAAATTAATTAGCTTTATTATCAAATTAATACAGAGCGAATAGATTTCAAAGTTAATTATTTTTTGAAGTAACATTTGGTCTGCTTTTCAGGTTGCATGATACATGCTGCAAGTCTCTGAACTCATTTTAATTTTTTTTTTCATTTTTTCATTCCTAAAGAATTTCAAATATAGAATAAAAAATAGTACAAGGCAGAAAAAAAAACCCCAAGATTCACAGGTTTTTTTTTTCATTATTTTGTCATGTGTGACATATTTCCAGAAGTTTGTATCAGTAGAGTGTTTTGGAAAATCTAATCTTACTTCAGGTGGATAGTTTTGAACAAGAATATATAACTTTATTTTTATTTTTTAAGGATATATAATTTAAAAAATTCATATTATATGATCATATACCTGAATTGGTTGGAAGTACATTTGGCTTATCCCATTTAAGGATCACATTATTAAGTATTAATTATTTAATGGCAGTTCTCACAGTGGAAATATTTGTAGATTTAAATTGGGAACTGAAAGATACCAACCATTCTGTATAATAAACAATCAGCAGATCGTACAAACTTCAGGGCGAATGTCAACTCTAATCAGTGACTGATTGCAGTGGAATACAGTGGATTTTTGTTACTCACAGTAGTTATTTTCTATGTAAAATTGCTTCGAACACTGAATTAGCAAACACTGAATCACTGTTCCTAGGAGAAATGCAACGTTAGCCTTTGGTCACAGCATTTTCATGAACCGATCAGTCCATAGCCTTGTTTTACATGCATTTCTATTTAAAGATACTTTGTTTAGTATATATCGTTCATTCGTTAACAGCGAACTCGCAGCCAATGGCACCAAACTCAGGCCTCAGTGAAGCTTATCTAATACACTGTTTTCTTCGTGAGACACATCACAGCCTTGTTATGCTTAGGAACCCTAGACGGAACTTCCGCACTGTGAATGGGGTCATTTTAAACATCACCAGGGGAAAAAAAAGCACAAAAAAGCCAAAATAAAGTGGCACTAAATAGATCTAGAACCAGACACAGCAGGACCTGAAACCCGAGGCAGAGGGCTGCTTTGTTTGACTTCAGTTGGGAACATCAGCACGCCCATGGCTCAGCTTGTCACCTGTCCGTGCAGGTCTGTGAATGGCCCAGAAAGTGTCATAAGTATTGACCTGGAGGCTGCAAAGAAGTTTTAGTGCATGGGTGAATTCACAAACACGGAATTCACAACTAACGAGGACTGACTGTATTTTTAAAACTTAAAGCTATGCACTGATCAGTGTCTCAGAAAACCAGTTTTTATTTAGAAACCCAAGTTGCTCTATTTTATTTTACTAAAATAATTTCAGTTACAATGGACATTCAGTATTATATTAGTTTTAGGAACACATTTATATAACTATAGACTGACCCCCGATAAGTCTAGTACCCACCTGGCACTATATGAGTACATAATTACTATAATATTTTTCCCCACCCTTGATCCTATCCCCCTTTGGTTTTGTGCATGTGTCCTTTATAGATGTTTCTGAAAACCCAGCCCAGTTTTGTGAGAAATCTGGGCTGTAACATGCTTTGTACATGTTTACTTCCTTCCCTTGCTTAAATTAAGGTCATCGGACCCAGGGTTCCGTCCACTGCCAGCCCGTACGTTCTACCATTGCAGAGCAGGTAATCCCCACCTGGAGCCCCTCCCAGCTCGGACCCACATCCACACTCAGGATGCTCTTTCTCAGCCCTCAAAGGACACATCACTATATGCTGCCTTGAAGAGTGTTAACATCCCAGCAAGTTCAAAGGCTTCTGGGAGGGGTCAGCCCAAGCACTTTTTTGGCTCCTGCTTACCACCACAGTACCTTGCTTTCACATAGAAAAAAAAAATCTGTTTGGCGACAATTTTTTTGTATTGTGTGTTTTTCAGCTTTCCTGAGGTGTAAGTGACAAATGAAATAGTAAGATATTTAAAATGTGCATAGTGATGATTTGATATACATCGTGGAAGGAAGTGTGTTAATTAACACTCATCAACACTGATTTTTTTTTAAAGACTGCAAATTAGACTTTATAAAATTGACTTCTGAAATAATTGGATGTAGAGTTCTCTTCCAGGTGCCCTGGGGGTTCATCAGCTGCTGCAATTTCTCTGGCAGCGTCATTTCGTTGACTACTTAAGAAACATGTAATGATTCTACTGCAAGGAAAAACTGCAACCTGAAAATATGTTTGCTACAAACTATACTTCTAATAGGAGCTTTAGGAAAGTCTTAGTTTCCACTAAGGACTATTTTTTTTTTAGAGTTGCTTCAAGTGAAAGCATTGAGGCTTGGATATGTGGCAATGTTGCTACAAAATCAAAAGCCATTGTCAAGGCCAAGGAATTCTCAGACGCAGCAATAGATACACGTAGACGGTTGGATGGAATCAAGAAAAGCTGCCGTATGTCTGATTTTGAACCATACAAAGGTCTACCAAGGGCCTCACAGTGAGGTGAACATGGGTTCCGTGTTTAGCTTCTGCTACAAGTTGTGGCGGTACTCACCGCCTCTGTGTCTTGGTACTTTATGTTCTGGGGTCTGGCTCTTACTTGGCCTTTGATGAGCTGTATACCCTCAGACAATTTATTTTATTTCCCTGTGATGGGTAGCACATCTTAAAAATGTCTAATCCTAATATCCACTTCATAATCTTGTTTTATTTAATGAGGTCATAGATGGAAAGCACTTAGAACAGCTCTCAAAAGAACACGTGTGCTTCATAATTAGATGCTATGGCTGTTACAGTTGCCCGCAGTGTTGAGAAAGCTAAAGAAGCCCCATCGGGACCGGCTACGCAGCTGGGGGAGCCCACACCAGATGCAGACGCGCGCTTCGCTCAGAAATCGGGAAGAATTTCAAGCCTGGGACAGCAGAGCAGTGATCGACCGCGGGGGCCCTCGGGCCACCGCCAGGGCTGCGCGCCTGCGAAGCTGGCCCTGGAGCTGGAAGCAGAAGCGTTCCCACGCAGTGAGTGCTACACAGACGCTTGTTCGCCTTGGTGCCCCCAGGCTCGTACACCTCGCGCGCCACCACTGTTCACATTGACCCCTGGCTGTCACTTGCCCCCCAACAAAAGGAAAAAGATCTGTAGTTATTCTCGTGGTAACCAACCTCCAACCCCATTGCTCCCCAGTCGCTTTGGCAAGTGTCCGTCGCTCAACCCAGCCTCGGCCTGGCCAAACAGGGCCTCCAAAGCGAGGAGACACCCTCCCGGGGATGGGGTCGCTCCCGGTATTTCTCTGGGGTGGAAGGCGGCCGGGCCTCCCGGTCCCCAGCGGTGTTTACCGGTTGCCCCAGGAGACGCGCCGCCAGTTCCCGGAGCAGCAGCCTCGCTCTCCGCGGTCAGGTCTGCAGCGCGCTGCCCCGGGCTCCGAGCCAGGATGAGCCGCCGTGCCGCATCCGGCCGCCCCAGGCGCCTGGACCGCACCAGCGGTGCCCCGTCGCCCGCGCCCGAGGTACGGTCCCAGCTGGCCCGCTGCGCGCGGGGGTGGCGGGGCCGCCTCTCCTAACACTGGAGAGCACCGGCGTAGAGGCCCGGGGTGCGCAAACTTCTCTAGAATGCGTGTGTGTGTGTGGGGGCGGCCAGGGTCTGTGTGTTCTCGCCTTGGAAATGGACTGGAGTTGCCAGCGGCCAGTTCAGTTTGGGAAATTTGGGGCCGGTCCTGGGTTTGTGGAGTGAGTCTGAGTTCTAGGTTGTACCAATTTGCTTCTCTGACCCTTTATTTGAACAGGTTCGCAGGAGGGTGTCCGTCTCCTGTACACCCTCCCCAAACCCCTGCCTTCCAGCACTGAGCCCCTTCATAGCAAATAATTCTTTCGGTTAACTTACACTTCTTAGTTACCAAGACATGACTTAGAGCAGTTTCTTTAAAATCGAATGGCGTCGAGTTAATGCCTGTCTTAAGCAAAGTCTCAGGCCTTTTGTTGTTGCTAATCACCCCGGACACATTAAATCAATTGCCACTGGGTTCATTTACTGATTCACTCCCAGGAGGGCAGCAGGTATGTTCTCATTCTCTCTCTCTCTCTCTCTCTCTCTCTCTCCCCCCCCCTCCCTCCCTCTCTCTCTCTCTCTCCCCACATAGCCGGCGTTGCTAGAGACCTGGGGATGTGTCCCGCTGAATTTCCAACCTGAGAGGTGTCCTCAGCATAAACCACACTGACCACAGAAATCCCTGCGGCGCCTCTTAGGTTCAAAACAAGGAGCTCTTCGTGGCGGGTTCCTCACTTGCTCCCACACTTCCAATATTCAGCTACTTTGATTGTTGCCATACTTACCCCTGACCCACATTCAGATTTCCTGGTTCCCGGCATGTCCGTGGTCTGTACAAATAAAACCAATATTTCTTCTATTTTACATTTGCATTTTATCCCAATATGGTGTCCTCTCGTAAATGAAGACTATTAGCCCATGCATAAGTTAGCATGCATATATATAAAGTATATCGTATATATATATTTATATTATATATATTTGTTTGGAGAAGACATTGAGAAGAAATTACAGACATCATGGCCCTTTATTCCCAGATTGTGTGGGTCTCTGAAAGAATACGGGCATTCTCTAACCAAAATGTAATGATCAAACTCAGATGTTTAATGCTGTTGCAGTGGTATTATCTAATACACACGACCTATTAAAATTTGCCAGTTGTCCCAGTAATGCCATTTCCTGCAGACATTTTTTTTCATTTCAGGATCACACGGGTGATCCTTTAGTTACGGGTCTTCAGATCCTGTAACCCTGGAACAGTCAGTCCCTCAGCCGCGCTTTGTCTTGGTTGGGCACCGGTAGTTTTTACAGAGTCCGGGCCGTTTGTTTTGTAGCAGAGGTTTATCTGATCGTTTTTTCAAGGTTAGATTTTTGGTAAAATGCTTTAGAAGTGATGTGTCTCAGTGCTTCACACTGGGAGATACATGATGTCACTTGTGCCACCACTGATGATGCTTCTAATTGGTAGAATCGGCCAGAGTTTTCCACTGCAAGTGTAGAAAAAGAAGTTTTAGTGACAAGTAAGTGATCATTTTGAGTAATCTTGCTGATTCATATTGATATTTTTTTAGGATAAATTTTACTGCCTACATAAAGGAAAACATGCATCACACTCAAGATTTTAATCAACCTGAAAGACCTACACTTTATGGGGAATAAAAATAGATGCAGAAAGGCCAGCATTTATTACAATTTGTTTTTCAGTTGAGAGAATACTTCACCGGAGAATCTTGTAAGTCAGGGAGGCTGTGCAGGAGTTTCCCATTATGTGGACAATGAAATGCTTATTTAATTAGCTAGTGATGGAGTGGGGACTTACATATCTTTCTCTCGAAAGGTTAGTACTTTTCCTCCTGCACTGTCAAGCACTGAAAAGCAGATTAAAATACAGAGCAGGGACCGTATGCAACCATATGAAGAAGTAGGGACTGCCGGGTCTGAAGGGCGTATTCTTGGATTCAGGCAGACCTAGCGATACCACTTGTCGTAGGTGACACCTTGGGGGAAAAAACATCCTTAATGCCTCAGAACTTTAGTTTCTCCTAAAAATGGGGTCGTAACACTTACCATGGAGTGCAGTCTGGGGACTTCACTGTTCAATGTAAAGCACTCTGCAGAGTGATTAAATAAGTGCTTGTTGATGCTAGCTGGTACGTGTTATTCTTTGTAAAGTTTGGCATTTGCTTTGCCACCAACGCCACGGCCACCCACACCACTGCCATCCTTGACCCCTCCTTTGCTACCGCAGCCTCCACCTCCACAGTCAGTTGTTGAGGGTCTATGCAAGGGGTAGAGTAGGTAACAATGAATTTGATACAGTCTCTACTGTCAATGAAGAACTGACAAGAACATATATACGTAACACATGACACAGACGACAGTGTGGCGACAGCCAGAGGGAAGCAGGGTGGGGGCCAGGTGGAGGTGGGGGGCGGAAATGGGGACAGAAAGAGGCTTTGCTTCGGGCGATGGGTGCACGATGCTGTGTGCAGATGATGTTTTGTTGAGTCGTGCACTCGAAACCTGTCTCATTTTGCAAACTGATGTCAGCCCAATAAATTCAATTTAAGAGAGTTCACAATCAGGAGAAACAGACACATAAACAGATGACTGTGTCATTGGCATAACCCAGGAACTAAATTTAAAGTTGCATTTTTATCGAGTTAGGTTTGCCTTTAATCAAATCATCAGCAGAGTTTTACTGGGCTAGAAAGTGTTGCAAGCAGTCCTAAGAGCAATACTCTGTGAGCTGAAGTGTATCAGCTCAAGCACGGAGGACAGAAACATGCTTTGGGGAAACTTCTAAATAGAGCTTTCGGCAGAACAGCGTAGCTTTGCCATGAAATAAGGTATGGAAGCTGAAAAATGTTACCAAATTGTGTAGAGTTATATCATCAGCCAAAAGCCATAGCAGTCATTGGCTGAGAAGGGCGTGGACTGGGCGTGGATTGCCAGCTACGTCCATATTTTCACATGTCTAGAACGTCTGCACCGAAGTCATGGCTCCAGTGAGTACCGTTGTTGGGAATCTGAGCAAGTTCCTCTCCTCTGAGTAAAACACGGGTTTGTTAGAAGAACTGTCTGCTGCAGTTGTCATGAGAAGCAAAGGTAAACAGCAGCAGTCTATCCACAGCTACGGCTCCTCAAAGCGGAGTCTCAGCTGGTCATGTGGAATTATCCAGGAAGTAGAGTTTGTTTTCCTTTCACTTCCCTGTCATTTCAACTTTTTAAGAAATTGTGATAAAATACACATAACATAAAATTGACCATCTTACCTGTATTTAAGAGGCGGTAACCACATCTGCATTATTGTGCATCCAACACCACCCCCATCTCTAGAACTCTTCTCATCTTGCAAAACTGATCCTTTGTACCCACTAAACAGTAACTCCCCAGTCCCCCCATCCCTAGCCCCTGGCAGCCACCATTCAGAAGTCTCCCTATTCTAGTTATAAAGAAAAACATCCGAATCTCAAAAAAAAAGGCAAGTAGAGAAAAAGAACAGAAAAAACTGGAGATACAGAAAAGCAAGGTAATGATGGAAATAAATACAAATACGTCAATAATTATAATAAGTATAAATGGACTAATTGCTCAGTTAACTGACAAAAGTTGTCACGTTGAATTTGTTTAAAACCTGGGTATATGCGATTTATGAAAGACGCGTAAAAACAAAGTAATGTGTAAAAGTTGAAAGCCTAAGTGTATAAAAAGATTTTACTGGGAAATAATAACCAAAAGAAATCTGATCGATTACAGTAAGATTATATAAAATACTTTTAAGGCAAAGAAAAAGCATTACTACAGATAAAGAGAGTCACTATAATGGTACAAATTATATTTCTATTTCATACAAATTTTTATTCAGGAGGAAGTTATAATTCTAAATGTGTGTGCATGTAAAAGGTGGCCTCGAAATATGTAAAGATTGACAGAAGCAAAAATCTATAAAGAACTATAACCAATTCACAGCTAGAGTAAAACATTTTTTAAACACACTCCTGTGAGCAGCTGATGAGCAGACAAAAATTCGTCAAGGGAGACATTCAGAGAGCTAAAAATACAAATGTGGTTAAGCCATTGTGACAAATAAAAGCACACAAAATACTTAGAATATGACTGTAAAAGCTAACAGGATGACTTTTCCCTTTTGCCCAAGGGGTTAAATACCTTTAGATGAGAACTAGTCAATTGTACAAAATCCTAGAAACTGTACTCTATTGGTAGGGATTCAGTTAGACAAATAATTGGATGTTTTCCCTTTGTTTTAAATTAAAAAAAGGGCTACATACTGTCTGAAATAATGACAACCCTCTAATCATGAGAAAACATTAGACAAACCTACCTTGGATAGGATTTTCTGCAAAACAGTTGTGCAGAAGGGTCAAGGTTGTAGTGGGAGGAGACTTGGGAGACGTGACGACTAAGTGCACCGTGGGCGTCTGGATGGACTCCCGGACCAGAAGAAGGACAGTGATGGAAAACTGGTGAAGGCCGAGCGAGGTCTGTGGTTTATAGCATTGTGCCAATTTCCCGGTTTTCACAAATGTACCTCAGTTATGCAGTTTTTACCATTAGGGGAAGCTGGGTACAGGGTCAGAGGGTACACAGAAACTCTGTTCTAACTCTGCAATGTTTCTCTGTCTAAAGTGATTTAGAATAAAAAGTTAAAAAATGAATAAGCCGCGAATTTATTTACACACCAATCTTATTTAACTACAACACTTAGTTTCGTGTGGTATTTAATTATTCGTGGACCATCTGGCTGTAGCATGCAGTGTGTGAGAAAGCATTCAGAGAACAGATAGAAGAAAATAACTTTGTGCACACCAAACAGAGAGCAGGTTTTCCTTTTTTTTTTTTTTAAATAAAAATACTTCCCCTTTAATCAAGGCTTTTTAACATGAAACAGATTTCTTGAATAAAATGGAAAGTTTCCAATACACTGAAATGTAAATCACC